CGACCATGGCCCTTCAGGCGCTCGAAGAGGCGGTCTCCTCGCGGGTCGCCCTTGCGAGCGCCGAGCTGGCCCCTCGGGCTGCCCTCCCCGCCTCGGGCGCGCCTCTCCCGAGGGGCGGGGTTTCGTCTGCCCTCGCGACGCGGGCGGCTGAGTCGGATGCCACCCTCGTCTCCGCCGTGTCGCGCGGCCGCGTGGAGCTCGACGCACTCCGCACCGCGCGTGCCGACGCCACCAGGCGCACGGTGCAGGCTCCTGCACGCGGCGAAGGAGAGCGTGCCGTCGCTCGTGCCGAGCTCGCGGAAGGGATGGCCGATCGCGCCTACTTCCGACGCGTGCGCGAGGCCGCCAGTCGAGAGGCCGCGGGCTTGCCGCGCACTGCTCCCGTCCAGCTGGGTCGGGATTGGCGCAAAACCTTGCGCGCCGTCCTGCACAACGCTGAGGTCTCGACGGGCCTCGCCATCGCAGAACGTGCCGCTCGTGCTGGGGACGCACCCGCGTCGTCCACTGGCCGCTCCTTGGCCGAGGTGGAGGCTGAGGACCCGCGCGCCTTGGCAAGGCCCGCCGACGACCCTGCGTCCAGCTTCAGCCGTCGTGAGCGGCGCGCGGTCCGCGCCCGCCTGGGCCCGCGGGATGAAGCGGTCGAGGACCAGCCCAACCGCGGTGGTCACGCGCCGCACTCCGCCTCGCGCACGGGCGCCGCGCGCACCAGGCGCGCCGCCAGGCAGCGGCGGCCCTGCCCGCAGCCGTACGCGGTCTCCAAACCCGTACGGGACCGACCGCACCTCTCCCTCGGGGGGCTGCTCGTCGCCTCCCGTCAACGGCCCGATCTCGCCCGAGGAGCCGTCGGAGCCGCCTGCGGGGGAGGCATCGGAGGGCCCGCACACTCCTGACGGGTCCCCGCCCGCGAGCGTTCGCAGCCGCTCGAGAGCGGAGCCCGCGTGCGACGAGGACTCTCCGACGGAGCTCGAGGACGTCGTGCTGAGTGCCCTCGCAGACTCCTCGATGGACCTCGAGCGCGTCGTGGCGGGCCTGAACCCCGAGGTCCTCCGCCGCCTGCAGGCGGCCTTCCCTCGCCGCTCGGGGGCCTCTCCGCCCGCCGCTCGCGCCTCGGTTCGCAGTCGCTCTCGGGGCCGCGGCACGCGTGTAGGCTCCGAGACTCCGCGGCCCGTGCCCCCGCCGCCGCCGCCGCCCCCTCACCACTCTGGTGGGCGTGCGGCGTCGCGATCCCGCGCGTCGACCGCAGGCCAGGGGCTTAGTCGGGCCGTCGCGCGCGGCTCCTCTCGCGCGCCTTCGCGTCAGGCGACGTCGCCTCGGCGTCGCGAGGTGCGCTCCCCTCGAGTCGCTCCGAAGCGGCGCCCGAGCCCCGCTACTGCGCAGCGGCCAGCCACGTCCCGCCATGGTGCGAGCTCGGGCGACGCCCACGCAGGCAGCTCCCGCGCGGACTCCGCTGCTCAGGCCCCTCAGTCTTCGGTAGGCACGCGCTCCTCCAGCGATGCCGTTGCGGCCCCGCAGGGCGGAGGGCGTGCCGCCGAGGAAAGGGGGTCTTCGAGCGGCCCCGCGCCTGGCCGAGATTCAGGGCACGAGCTGCATCCCAGCGGCTCCCACAGCGGCGACGCTGGGAGCGCCGCGGCTGCAGCCTTCGCAGCGCGGCGCACGGCCTCCGCGGCCGTTGAGCAGCCCTTGCCTCCAGGGGCCGCCACCGCCCTAGCGTGGCGTCTCAACCTCGGCGGTGAGAAGGTCACAGTGGTGAGGTGGGGACCCGCCTGGCAAGCTGCCTTCCAGAGCGCGGCGTCGTGGCTGAGGTCTTTCGCACCCGCAGGGGCCGCCGAGCCCGAGGGCAGAGATGACCTGCACTGCCCCCTGCAGGCCTTGCACGCCTATAAGCGTCTGTTTCAGACAGGCGGCGCCGAGCCGATCGACGAAGCCTCGTGGTTGCACCCTTACGTGGCCGCCGTCGAGCCCGAGGCTATCCCCGCGGGCGCTGACCTCCAAGCCATGGGGGCGGGCGCCATCCGTGGCATCGGGCTCGGCTCAAAGATCGAGCACAGGAGGCGCGCGGGCAAGTTGGCCTGCCTTTTCGACCTTCTGTACCACGTGCAGGACGGTCACGGCGCCATCCCAGCAGCGCTGTGGGGATCTCATTCCCCTCCGTCCGAGATCCTCGACGCGTTCGCGGAGGTGGTGCCCGTTCCACATCATTCGGGCCTCACGTCCTCGGCAGCTCGTTCCGAGCTCGCCGAATCGGCCGCAGCTGCGCGCGCCGAGCCGCGCCCGCCCTTTGACTGGGCGACCCTCGAGGGAGGGGACGCTCTGCCCGCCGAGATCGAAGCAGGGGCTCGCCGTGCTCACCGTAACATGGGCGGATCCTTCACCTCGGCGCGGGCGATGCTGGCGGAGGCGTCGGGGTTCGAGACCGACGGGCGGGACACCCTCGTTCCGCCCTTCTACGCGTCCAGGAGCAGGAGGGCCGCCACGCTGATCAGCTCTCCCAGCCCTGGCCGCCCTGCGCTCATCCTGTGGTGCGTCTGCGGCCTCTGCATCTCTCTGGGAGCCGCGGCGCCGACCGCAGGCCAAGGGCTTAGTCGGGCTGCGCCTTCCGCGCCCGCTCGCCCTCCGCGCACTCCCTTCGTGCGCGATTCTCACCTCACCTCCGCGTATCTCGATCGTCGCTCGAGATCGATTGATGCGTTCGAACTGTGGTTAGCAGAACACACTGGCGTGCCGCCCGCCACTCTTTACCGTAGCGGGATACTTCTCGCCCGCTTCCTCGCGACCTTCGGCGTGTGGCTTCATGATGCAGGTTTCCCTCATTATATTCTGGTTCATGCCATCTTGGGAATCCAGAGCGCTCATCCGCATTGGAAGGCCTTTCTAACAGAAGCTTGGGACGTAGCGAAACAATGGAAGCTCGCGGAGCCGCCAAAGCTCCGCCCGCCCTTACCTCGCGCTCTGCTGCGCGCTATGGTCGGTCTCTGTTTCGCCTGGGACTGGCCTGTGATGGCGGCCTTGCTGCTCATGGGCTTTACGATGTTCCTCAGGCCTGGCGAGCTGCTGGCGTCACGCCGCTGTGACTTGTCGCTTCCTTGCGACCGCCTCGAAGTTGAAGGGGATGCTTTTCTTTCGATTCTTGTTCCAAAGACCAGGAGAACGTACCCGACGCAGCATGCTCGCTGCTCCGATCGGGGCACGGTGAAGATTCTGAATCAAGTGTTTGGGCGGTTGGCTTCCACCGATCCTCTCGCCCCTTTCGGTGCGAGCGGCTTCCGTACTCGGTGGAATCATTTGCTTTCGGCCCTGGGCGTCCCTCTTGCCAAAGCGGGTCAGGGGCTCAACCTGACGCCCGCATGTCTGCGGGGCTCTGGCGCAACAGACTTCTATATCGCTACGGAAGACGTCCCTCGCGTCTTCTGGCGGGGGCGTTGGCGTCAGGCTTCCAGTGCTGAGCGCTACCTGCAAGCCGCCGCCGCTTCCACAGTTCTTGCTGCGCTGCCCGTGCCCGCACGGGCGCGGATCCTGTTCTTCGCCACCGCCAGCGACCGCCTTGTCGCTTCATTTCTCCAAGTCGGCCCCGCCGCTTGGCCTGCCCTACTTGCGGCCGCCCGCCGAAACCTTGTCACTTCGCAAGGTCCTTGAGCACGGGTATGGCTGCCTCGCCGTCGTCGGCGAGCAGGCGGTCTCCCCCGCCTGACGCGCGGCGCCCCGGCACGAGCGCGCGGGACGGGCCTGCCCATTTTGGGCCGCCCCGCGCGCGCGAGCCGCGGCCGCGCTCGGAGACAGCTCGCTAGCGCGCGAGCGGGAGAATGCCTCTTCTATTCTCTGTGAGCAAGCTCCTGCTGTCTCCGCAGCTTCTCTGCCCCCCTCCCTCCTCTCCCAATCTAAGGCTGATGGGCGCTGCCTCGCCGTCGTCGGCGAGCAGGCGGTCTCCCCCGCCTGACGCGCGGCGCCCCGGCACGAGCGCGCGGGACGGGCCTGCCCATTTTGGGCCGCCCCGCGCGCGCGAGCCGCGGCCGCGCTCGGAGACAGCTCGCTAGCGCGCGAGCGGGAGAATTTTCTTCTTGGCGGTGTTCACAGCATGTTTCGAGAATTGCGGAATGCTGTCGAGCACCACATCCATGATAGATTTTCGATGTACATGTCCTCGCAGTTTTGGCTCTCCTCCACTGTGCCAAGGATCTCCGGCTCAACGTCATCAAAATTACACAATCGGCAGACTTTTTCCGCTTCTTCATGTAGATATGTTCATTTTCGTTCATGTTGCCGCCAAGGCAACTTCCGCCCGAAACGTAGAGCGACATCCTTCGGCAAGAATGGTGTTTCGGCAAGCTTGAGTCTTGAGCCGAGGCTACGGTCCCCTCTTTTTCGGCACACCCGTCACACGTTTCGTGGCCCCTATGAGGAGCTCCACCGAAGGCCCCAGTGGCACGGTTCGCATGCCGCGCCCCCTCCACTTTGGCACACCTCTCACACGCTTCGTGGCCCCATAAGGAGCTCCACCGAAGGCCCCAGCGGCAGCGCCCGCGTGGCGGCCCCGCCCCATGGCGGCGCGCCCGTCGCGCGCTTCGTGCCCCTGGGGAGCTCGACAGAAGGCAGTTCTCACAACGGCGGTATTCACGAGTGCCTATGGTTGGGTCTTTCGCCGGGATAACTGTGCTAGGTTTCGGAGCCATTTTGGTCTCTTGGGCGGGTCCTCGGAGGGCACGGCGGGCACTGAGCCCGTCTTGGGATCATAGCGGCTTCTTGGATGTGTGTCAGAGGCAATCTTGAGCCATCTTGAGGTATCTTGACTCATCCTGGAGACCATCTTGGACTCGCGGAGGCCCTCTTGACGAATCTCTAACACCTCGGACCCCCCCCATCCCAGGCTCAGGGGAGGGGGCAGGGGGGGGTAAACCCCTCCCCGGAGCAGGGGAAGGAGGGATTCATAGCAGAGATACGGTACGAGTTCTTCTTCAAACCACCTAGGCCCAGATGGCTGGTGGGACTGGAGGCTTCGATGGGCCAGCGTGATTTTTGCTCAAGCCGCTGTGCGCCAGTTGTGGTGCGCCCTCGGGTCAGGCCACCGCTCGCCTCGGGACTGATCGTCGGGCGGAGAGAGATATGCGCATTCATCGATCCCGGCCAGGTCCGTCCTGGATCCCGGGTCGGTGCATGTGCCTCCCTGGCAGAGCCAGGCGTGCGGATGCACCGATTCTGGGCCCAGGATGGGCTTGGCCATGATCTGTGCATATGCGTACTTTCTTCTGGATCGGGCCAGGCCCTACCGAGAACACTGCACGGGGTGGAGGGTGGCGGCGGCGAGCGCATGTCCGCTCCTCAGGTGGCGCCGGAAGCGGAGTTGCCTTGCTTTATCGTTCGCGGTTGCATCGCCACGGTCTTCTGTGTTCTGACAGCACATGTGTGGCTGTGTTGGGACGACTTGATAGCGTCGGTGCGCGGATTGAGAAGAGAGCTCCAGAGGCTGGGCGCACCGCCTGGTCTTTGTACTTCCTTCGACACCAGATTGTGTACCGAGCTCCACAGGGTTCGGGCGGCCCGAGGCCGTTTTTTTCTCGACACGATGCAGGTCCCAGTGACGACCTTATCTTTGTTGGTTCTGATTGGAATGAGTCTGAGAGGTAAGCATGACTTGGGGCTTGCTTTATCAGCCGTGTTTGTGTTGTTGCGTTACATGGCCCTGTTGTATGTCAATCACTGCATCAAGTTCTCCCGCATCCCCTCCGTGGACATATCATTCGTTTTCAAGCTTACTATGTCATTGCTCGTATTGCGGACGCACTTCACGGACACCGACGACTTCCTCATGAACGGCGGCTTGCGTTGCGGGCTGCGAGTGTTCAACGCGATCTTACTGCTTGACTTTAAGACAGCGTGGAGGTGGAACGTACTCTTCTCTGCTGTGGTGTGCATCACAGCCTGGAATCGAAGCGACCATCTATGCACCGACGGGCGGCATGCCATGGATGCTTTCGCCAGCCATTGTTTGTCCGAGGCCGGCACCTTCGCGACTGTCTGCGCAGTTCCATTGTTGTTGGAGACGTGCGAGAAAGACCGCATCAAAGCATCTTTGGAGTCCAGCGAGTCTGGTAAGGCATACCAGGCAGTTCAAAGCATGCTCCGTGTATTCTGTGACGCCCAGCTGCGCATATGCCCTCAGTCTAGCATCATCGCCCACTCCCCACACCTGTTGCATTTGCTGGGCTTGGGGGACCAGGCAGGAGAACCGAGGAGATCGCTCAGGGGCGACAGCTTCCTTCGATACGTGGACGAGCTCGACCAGCAGCGCTTCCAGGACTTCGTCGCAGCAGCAGTGGTGCCGCAGCTGGGAGGCGATTCGTCCAGTCGCTCAGCCGCGCCGCCAGGCGAAAGCCTCGGCACGGACGGCTCCGGCGTGGGCCTCGCCACCTCCATCCAGGTGTCCTTGCGCACGGAGGGGGGCGGGCTCCCCGCCCCCGTGGAGCTGTTCCTGATCTCGAAGAACGGAAAAAGGCATAAACATAATTTTCGATTCTCCACGCGGATCTCGTGGATCTGAGCTGGGCCCTCCTGGCGGCGCCTCGGGCGCCGCTCCTGGCGCGCTCCGCGCGACAGGGAGGGGTATTCAGCGCCGATCCAAGAAATCCGCGCGGAGCGTCAAAAATATATGTTGATGCAGTTCTTTGTTCCTCTATGATCCACGTCCCCGACGCCAACGACGCCCCCGAGTTCCTGATGGGGATCCGCGAGACCAGGGATGCAGTGCCGCGGGAGGCATGCACGGAGGCCCCCGGGGCCGTGGCCTTGCAGCTACATGCGGGGGCCGCGCCCGCGAGCCACGCGCCCGACCCCGAGGAGAGCCCCGGCGCTTGCCGAGGGAGGATAGCTCGGGCGCTGCGTAATGGGGGAGCGATGAATGGGCTCTGAAGGTAGGGAAGGGGTGTGGTGCAACTGGTGAATCTGGCGATGCAGTCGATCGTCGATAGCATCGCCATCTCCACGACTGGCACCAGACCCCGTTATACCACATTGCTTACCGACCTCCAAAATGGGGGGGGGGGGGGGCAGAAGGGTGCACCTTGTGTGCCCGCCCCAGAGGAGGCCCTGAAGGGGGCTCCCCTGGCACCCACAAGGGGCCCTGTGTGCCCCAGAGGGGGCCCCTGAACGGTGGCTCCCCTGGCACACACAAGGGGCACGCAGGGGGCGGGGCACGTTCCCTCCCACCCCCACCAATTATCGCCCCCCTATTAAGCACTTCCCGAAGAGCGCGCTCTGTACCAGAGCCGCTGCGGGGCGAGCAGCGCCCGCCTGTCGGCGCGTCCCACGAGCAGCCGGACCAGGAGCATCGAAGAGGAAAAACAACGGCGTGAGCACAAACGTTTGGAGCTTCGCGTGGATCTCTTGGATCGGCGGTGCCGCCAGTGCCGCCCCTGACGCGACGGGGCCCGGCGCCGATCCAGCAGATCCGCGCAGAGCTCCAGAATGTTGTGATCGTGCATGTCTTCTTCCTCTGGCGCAGCCGCCGCCTCAGTCGGCGTGGGCGCCGTGGCAGCCGCCCGTCCTCCACGTTTGCGAGAAGAGGTCCGACGGCTCCCGCTCGTCGTCCTCGGGGCGCTCGGGCACGTCGTCGAGGAGCTCCGCCCCCGACGCCGGCCAGGTCTCGTCCGTGAGCCTGCGGCTGGACTTCGGGGGCAACGTCAGGTGGCGGGGGTGGGGGTCGGCTTAGGGGGGACCGCATCGACCCCCGGTCGCCCAGTCATCGCCGATAGAGTCAGGCGATCGCAAACATGGATCAAGGGGCGTGGATTAACGACGGGTCCCGTTTCCAGGGGAAATCGCGGATATCCGCCGCCGAGCGAGGCGGCACCGGCCGCATCTTGGGGATGGCACCTCTCCTGATCCATGGATTTGGCGACAGCGCGCCAAATCCATGGATCGCTAATCCATGTTTGCGCGCCCCCGATATAATTAGGCCCGAAAGCCGATAGCCAACCCCGCCCAGCCAGGGAGGTGTGGACTCGCTGTCGGTGGTTCGTCGCCGACCTGTCGGCGATGCATCGCCGATTCCAGCTCGACGTCTCCCATCCTGAGCTGCCCCCCCCTCCCCCCTTGCGTTGTCCCTCAGGACTCCGCGACGAGAGAGTTTCGCGTCCAGGAGATGCTGCTGCGCTTCCAGGCTGGGCCCAGGGCTCCCTGCCTGAAGCAGTGGCTGCCAAGGTCGGGCAGTGCCAAGGGGGTCGCCACCAGGGGAGCCACGGGCTCCTCTTGAAAGTCGAGTTTTCGGGATCGGAGCTCGAGGATCGAAACACAAAAAAGGCAATACAAACATACGCTTTCCGCGCTCCGCACGGATTTCTCTGCGCCTCCAGGAGAGGTCCAGCGCAGATTCGAGATTTCCGAGCCGATGCATGCCGCTTTTTGCTCCTCGGGGGACGCGTTTGGACGCCTGGGGTCGTTCGGGAAGGATCTGGAGCGCTCTTGGGGGCACGACTTCCTCGAGGAGATGGTGCCGCGCCTCTTCGAGGACGTGGCGATACCCCCCCCCCCGGCCTTGCCCCACGAGGGATGCTCTGGCCCAGATCGAGAAAAGGTGCCAGGCGCTCATGCATGCCAAGTGGTATGAAGATGTCGAGGATTGAGGAACAAACAATTGCTCAAACGGGAATTTTCGCAGGCCCGCGCGGATTTCTTGGATCGGCGCTGGCCCCCCTGGCGGCGCCTCCGGCGCCGCCCCTGGCGCGCGGAGCGGTTCTGGCGGCGTCTCAGGAAATCCGCGCGGACCTCCAGAAGCATGCCTGTGCCTTTCAGTGTCTCTTCAGAGGAGGTGGACAGTGCCCTGGGGGCGCTGGAGTTCTGCAGGCACGGATCCGCCTTCATGCTGGCGGAGCGCGCGGAGCTGGTAGTCCCCGGCTCACTGGCGGACCCGGCCAACTCGTCCGACGACGACCCTGCCGACGACGTCCCTTCCAATCTGATGACGACGATGACGCAGCCCTCCGCTCCGGAGGATCGGCGGCGCGCGAGGGGGCGAAACGAGGGGGGGCTTCGCAGAGGCCCTCTGGCCTTCGGATGATCGAAAAGGAGAACGGGCATATACACAATCTTTCGGAGTTGCGCGAGGATTTTGTATCATCCATGAACTCCCTCTCTTGCACCAGATGCGGCGCTGGAGTCTCCGCTGGGGGGGCCTGGCGCAGATCCGAGATATCCGCGCGGAGCTCGGATAGTTTATGTTTATGAGTTTGGTCGTCCTCTAAAGGCCGTCTGTGGCTTCGGAGAAGGCTTAGAAAACCTACCCAGGCCTTCCGAGCCTTCCGAGATGTCCCACCCCCTCGGCATTCCCTCCCCCCGGGTTCCCGCCGAGAGGAGAATGCCGACGACGACCTTGACCTGATGGTAGCGATGAACTTGCATGAGGTATCAACGCATCTCGATGAAGAAACACGGCCGCAGCAGAATGTTTCGGAGGTCCGCGCGAACTTCTTGGATCTGCGCTGGAATCCTGGCGGCGCCTCTGGCGCTGACTCTGGCGCGCTCCGCCCGCCCTGGAGGGGTATTCAGCGCCGATCTATGAAGTCCGCGCGGTTCTCCGAACGTTTCTGCCTGTGCAGCCGTTTCTTCCTCCAGCATCCCATGCCCTGGCAGATCCGACGTCCCAGGGTCCCGAGGAGGCTGCGACCGATCAGCGAGTCGCTGCCGAGGCTGGACCCAATCGCCGAGTCGCCGCCAGGCTCGGAGGGCTGAGCCGACGACGCGGCGGCACGCCCCGCTGCTCAGCTTTCTGACCCCTCGGCTGCCCAGCTCGGGCGCTCTCGCTCCTCCAGCTTCCGCCGTGAAGGAAGCGGTTCCTGAAAAGCAGCGGTCCTGAGGTTTTTCACAGTTCTTGGCTTCCCGGGGCTCTTTGCGGGCCCCGTGAGCGGCAGAGAACGGCTCAGGGTGCAGATTCGCTTCCGGGGGAAGGTTCTCCAGGGCCCAGGACCCGTTTCCCTCAGGGCGTGTTTCTTCCATGCCAGAGTTTCAGTTCCCCAGTCATCCTACGGCTTGATTTTTCCGACCCGCGGCCCCAGAGATTCCGATCTTTTCCTTGGGGCTAGATTTGCGTCTTGGATCCACTTCTGAGGGCCCCTGGGCTTTTAACCTCTGGGCCTCAGACATTTTTTTTTTTGCGCGCGAAGCTCCCGGTATCCCACGAAGCGAATTATGAAGGCTATTGTTTGTATGTTTCGTTGGCGGACGCTCTGGCATCCCGAAAGGAAACATATCAAACAATGACGAATGATATCAACCCATATCAAAGCTAGCAAGCAATATATGAAAACATGCATTTACAGCTCTCTCTCTCTATATCTCTCTCTCTCTCTCTATATATATATATATATATATATATATATTGAAGTTCCACGTGTCTTTATCGCCTTGCGTCCTGCTCTGCCCGTGCCCGTTGTCGTATGTGCTCAAAGTGCTGAAGGGGCCCGCCTCCGGCGTGCATGGAGCTCCTCTGGTCCCTGGCACCGGCTGCTGGGAGACTTGCCGAGGCGGCTCTGCTCCGCTGCCCTGCCTGCCCCGCGTGCCCCTCCTGCACGTGCCCCGCGGTCAGCTGCGCGCTGACCTGCGCGGGGCCCGCCAGCACCAGTCAGCTGGTGGTACAGGAGCGGGACTGGGCAGGCCTTGCCGCGGCCTTCCTGACTGGCGTCGCGCTGCTGCGCGGCTGGGACTGGAGCAGGGCGGCCTACGCCAGGCGCCAGAGCTATCGGTCCGAGGTGTTGATCCAGCCGCCTGTGCCCGCGGCTAACCTCAGGAAGGCATTAAGAACCCCCCCCCCCCTTTTCCGGTGGATTATAACGCCCCCGCACCCTGGAGCGTTATGGCCGCACCGGAAGACCTGGCTGAGGGGACTCGGGGCCTAGCTAAGGCCTGCCAAGCGCAGATTTGCTCCCGCCAAGCAGTTTAGCAGGGCCAAGCAGGGCTTAGCAAAGCTTAGCAGGGCATAACAGGGCTTAGCAGGGCTTAGCAGGGCTTAGTGGGGCGGCCGCCGATGGTGGATTTTGTTTTCTGTGTGCGGCGGGTGCTAAGTGTATCGTTCGGCTAAAACTGCCCGCTTGGAATATTGAGAAAACCGGGTGCTAATAATAACCCAGGGGGGGTTCTTAATGCCTTCCTGAGGTTATCCAACCAGAGCCGACCCCAGCAGCCTTTGGGAAGACGGTGCCCGAGCTGGTGCCGACATCTTGTGTTGCGACTCCGTCGAGTTTTCGACCTAAGTGATGGAGCGCTCCCTTGACATCAAGGAGTTTCAAGTTTTGGTGCACTATCCCAATGATGACGACGGCTTCTTCTGGCATGTGCGCATCCTTTTGGTTCGAGCTGGTGGCGCTGGAGTTTGGGTGACTTTGACGCCGACGCTGGACTTGTTCACGCATGATCTCAGTCAGATCAGGCACATCGTCTTGGGGCGTAATGCAGCGTGGCCAGCTCGTGTGAATAGGAATGAGATCTTCGGTTTCGACCCCATCACGCGGGTCGAGCTCAACCAGTATATCCAGCTCGTGCGGGTGCAGGCTCGCGTGCTGGCCGAAGATGATGAGGATGCTGAGGCCCCCGAGATGGTTTGGCTCCGCGCAGGGCCGGGTGTCGACAGGCTCGGTGAGGTCGTCCCGCAGGAGGTCGTGGACGATCAGGAGCGTTTCAGTGAGATCGGGGACTCGGCTGTGGCGGAGGTGAACGGCACCGTGATCTGGGCAGCCAGGGTGAACACTGGCGAGCGTGAGGCCTGGCTCAAGGAGCGTCAGGCGGCCGAGCGCGACGACAGGATCATCGGAGTTCACCTGCGCAACGGCAAGCGTTACATCATGTTGAAGGAGGCTTTGGCTTTGTACTCGCAGGTGAAGTGCGATGACTGGAACTTCCCAGGGCCGCGTCTGGCCATGGAGTATCTGGAGCTGGTCGACCAGGCTGGCGGATTCGAGGTCTATGAGCGCAACTGGCAGCACGACTCTGGCGTGTATCAGGGCTCGGCGGCGCCCCACCAGCATCGAGCAGGCTCGGAGACGCTGCGCCTTCTGATCGAGGTGGACCAGGTGGACGCCTCGAACCTTCAGGGGGTCGAGAACTTGTGCAGGCGGCAGGTGCAGCTCGAGATGGCCGTCGAGCGCAACCCCGCCCACCCCGACTTCACGGGGCTCGAGGGGGTCATGGGCGGCGCGGTCACCGCCTCCGGGGCGGCCAGCGTGGTGTCGTCCCGCGAGTGGGTCGCAGGCCGCCAGAAGGACCGTGCGACGGTGCTCAAGCAGGCGAGGTTGGAGCGCGAGGAGCGGTCCTTTCTGGCCCCGGCGGACCCGTCGGGCAAGAGGGCCCCGCGCCCGAAGACCGACCTCAAGAAGAAGCTGAAGGACAAGGGAGGAGGTAAAGGCGGCGCGGGGGGCGCCGCCGGGGAGGGATGACGGCCCTTCAGCAGGAGTGGAGTCTCCGCGGCGCTGCCCACGCCGCTGGAGGAGGGGACACCGCTCCACCGCCGGGGGCTGCTCGACGAGCGGTCCACCGGCGTCTTCTGGGCGATCGGCGACATGGTGAACCTTTCCCTCTGCCTCGGGATCCCCTTCCATCAAAGCATGGACTCGAGAAGGGCCCTCGCTATGTTCGGCAGCGACGAGCTCGGCAGATTTTTCGGCATGAGCAAGTGAACGAGGCGGCCGAGGCGCTGAATCACCTTGCTACCTCAACAAACCGGCCTTCGGGCCCAATGTATGACAGTTTTGGAAGGAGGGCGCCAACCGCGGCGCAGGCGGCTGTACATCGTCGGCTTCACCAGCGAGTGGCTGCATGCGGTCGGGCACCTCCTTATCTTGATGAGCGGCGAGCCCTTGGGGAGCTCCTGGCATCGAGATCCCAGTATGGACTGGAGCCAGCGAAACTGGCAGCGTATGACTTTGCAAAGTTGAAGATCTGTCGGGGATCGCTTGCACCCAGGTCCCCGATGGAAGGCCTCCCAGCTGAGGCCGCGCAGATGCTTCGCCACTTTGACACGCAGATCGAGAGGAGCACGGACGAGCTACTCAGTCTTGCGCCGGAGCTGCCGGAGCCGCACTGGGACCCTTCTCTCCGACGATCTGGTGCTAAGCGCCGGCACTTGTTCAAGCACCTGGCGGGGATTGGACTGGTTTCTTATCGGCGCAAAGCAAAGGCATTCTGTGCACCTTTTTTCGTGAAGAAGAAGGGGGACGAGATCCGCATGGTTCTCGACTCTCGTCAGGCCTGTCTCAGTCATAGGCGGCCGCCCACCGTGCAGTTCGGATCTGCGCGGGCCATGGTGAACCTTGACCTGTCCGACGACTTCTTGAGCCAGTGCGGGGGCTTTGGGGGCACAGCGTCCGTGCCCGTACTCGCTGGTGATGCTGACGTCGACGACTGCTTCTACAATTTCTCGAATGTCCAGCTCGCCTCCTGGTTCTGCATGGAGGACGGCTACGCCGCGGACGACGCTCACGATTTTGGAATTCATCGCATATGGGATGACGATCTCAGGCGCTACGACCTTCTGAGACCTGGCGAGCAGTTGTTCATCTGTTTCGAAGGACTCTGCATGGGATGGTCGTGGTCACTCTACTTGTGCCAGAAGTTTTTTTGAACACCTTGTTGCATCGCAGCATCCTCTCGGTCTCGGTGGCGCGCTGCGGGATCGATCTCCTGCCCCCGAGCTGGCTCCTGGAGTGTGTGCTGAGGGGGTTTATGTTGACAATTTCAACTCCTTCAGCGTCAGTGACGAGGACTCGCACCTGAGTGTGGAGCGGTTCTGCAGCACTTTGCAGGACCAGAACATCGGTACGCACGGCAGGCACAGTGGGGTCACCTACCTAGAGACCTTGGGCCTAGAGTTCCACGCTCAATATAAGGTACTGCGTCATACCCAGCGTCGGACGTGGATATTTGCTCTTGCTACTCGCGCCTTGCTCCGCCGATCCTTCATGAGAGGTGAGGAGATGGAAGTTTGGCTTGGCAACGCTGTCTGCATGTTCTCGCTGGCGCCTGAGCTCCTCTCTGTACTGCAGGATGCCTACACCTTTGTCGCAGATGTGCGTGGCCGAAGGCTAGCCATCCCCTCCAGTGTACGATTGGAGATGGAGCTGGTCCGTCGGCTGGTTTTCGTCATCGAGGCGGAGGTCGGTGCTCCTATCTGGCGGGAGGTGCACATGGGCGACTCGTCGACCTTCGGCTACGCCTCGCTCTCTACGCCGTGCCAGGTCCAGGAGTTTCATGATGCAGTGAAGTATCGCGAGCGCTGGAGGTACCGCAAGGTCCAGTGCCTGCAGCCCGTCAGGCTCGACGCCCCCGGCGTGGTCGACGAGCTGGGCGGCCTCTCCGCCCACGGCGACTTCGGCGAGGGCGGCATCTGCGCCTCGGCTGTGCCTGGCCGAGCAGCGGGTCTCAAGACGGGCGCCCACACGAGCAACGGCCAGTACCTCAACCAGCGTGCCGCCGAGGCACGGCAGGGGTGGCACCCTCTTCGCGACTCCGTGGAGGCCCAGGCGCTGCCCGAGGTGGATGTCGAGCTCGGCGTCGGCATTCCGCCTTTGTCCGAGGCGTGGTCACGGCGGGATCGCTGGACCACGCTGCACGAGCGAGAGTGGCAGTGGCCTGAGGAGCACATCCACGCAAAGGAGGGGCGTGTCACCCTCCAGTCTCTCCCGCACTTTGGGAGGGGCGCTCGTGCTCACGGCCATCGCTGTCTGTGCATAGGCGATAACTTGGTGACGTTGAGCGGGTTCTAGAGGGGACGGTTCAAAAGCCACGCCCTCAACACTCTTGCTCGTCGGTCATTCCCTTATCGTCTCG